CCCCCCCTCTTCATTAATCCCGCCTGTTTCCAGTTTCTATCTCCAGTCAAGATCACTATAAACCCCCAGTGCACTTCGCAGTTTTATCTAGTTAGGCAGCATGGGATTCCTTTTCCATTGGTTTTCGTGGGTATCTTCAACAGAAGGCAGTGAGGAGGGGTTATTTTTGTTCAGGCAGTACATTTTATGATACCTCTCTTTCCTATTTTTGAGTTTTTCACAAAAAAAAAAGAGCATAAAAGAAGTTTCAGGGATGGAGCCAAGCGAGAAGACGATCTCAGTGTGGATGAAGTACAGGGATGCCGAGGTGGAGCCGCTGCGTGTGATATTGTGGCGAATCAAGAACATCAGCAGAATGGGCGAGGATGCTGCTGGACATCAGGATGGACGTGGTGGATGTCATCAGATGAAGTGGACCGATGCGCTGTACAAATTCAAGCCAGCAATCCTCGAGATACTGTTCGACGATAATCCGTTCGAGAGTTTGAAAGAAGCGATTAATTCAGAAATGGTTTGTTTTTTTTTTGCTTCAGGAAGTGTTCACTTTCGTGCCAAACAGAGGGAAAAAAGAACCGGTGATCCCAGTGATATTCAAAATTTTACGATGCTTGCTATTTGAAGACATACAGTGCGGGATCTCCCACACCGATTTTGCCTGAAAAAGAAAGGCATAAAAGAAGTTTCAGGGATGAAGCCAAGCGAGAGGACGAAAAAAAAATTAAAAAAAAATTTTTTTTTAACTTTAAAATTTTTTAATGTTTTTTTTTATTTTTTTTTATGTCTTTTCAGGTCATAGCCTTCCTTTTGAACGTACAATACATCCATATTGATAGCCCCGACGTCAGAATTTCATGTATTATAGCTTTATTGTCGCATTTGTCATCGCTGACTGCATTCTCTTATTCGACTACCAATTTTAGCAATGGAATTGAATACTCCGAGCTTATCGACGAGTTGTCACGCTTAGAGGTACGTTTTTTACTAGAAATTGAGGCTTCTGTCGCAAAATATGATTTCAGTGAGGTAAATTTTTGCCACCAACTTTGATTGCTCTTCGTTTCCTCGCAATGCACTTTTGCCATGCCATGCTCAGTGTTTGATGTGTAGAGATTTCTCATAATTGGCCAACGCCCGGGCTGTCCATGCGAAGATGCGTTTTTTGCATAGATACCCGCAGATTTTTCTCGCTATCAGCACTGGGTCTTCCGGCAGATGCTTCTTGCTAGAAGAATTTCGGGCTGGCTGCCACGACTGTCAGAAAAAATCCCTTCAGAATCCCAGTCTTTTAGCTTGTCAGGTTCCCGAGTTATCAAATTACCCGAAAAAACTTTCACGAGCCCATACGTTGGTACCACGCCTCCCCGGGGGTTGTGTTTGAGCACATTAATACCCACTTGGACGAGGAACACTCCCTTGGTCTGTGAAGCCACATACACTCCTATTCAGCACCACAACTAGACTTCGTCAGTACAGCGGTTCTGTGGTGCTGTTTATACATGAAATCTATGCGGGGACTGATCATTTGTCATAATTTGTGTAAGTTTCTTTGCAGCAAATTGTAGATTTTATTTCGTGTTTCTTTATTTTCAGATCCGAGCTGTAAATATAACTGGTAGTTGTTCAGAGGCCGAAATTAACGGTATGATCAGGAAATTAGGTGTTGAATTGATTCGATTTTGCGGGCCGCCGGGTGTTTCGGTCAGTTTTTTTTTTTTGTTTGTGTCATAATGAATATGTAACAGATTTCATTGGCAGAAGTGCTAGCAGGCGAACAAACTCAAAAGCAAAATTATTGTATCCTTTACGATAGCGTAAGCTATGAATGGACACAGCTGTGGGTTTCTAGTACGGGTGAACTTAAGGACTATACAGCGGCAAAAAAAAGTTCAGTGTTAGTATTCTTGCTCTAATTCGTGTCACCGGTATGCCTGGTTGGTGATTGGTAGAAGTTAGGTCACAGCAGCAAAGGAAAGTGCATGTAAATGGAATTTTTGATTTTTAGGTTGAATTATTAGCTAAAACTACGGCGATTAGTTCAACGACACGATTTGTTGTCGCGCAAGCAACAAATTTAGAAACAGAAAATGATGGATTGAAATTTCTGAAATGTCTGGAAATGCTGTTTCCGTGCATGAAATGCTTGTACTGGGATTGGAACATGATTGATCCGTACGTTACATTCGATGGTCAGACTAAAACCTGCATAGAATGCCTTGTAAATTTGTACAGGTTTGATTTAACGTGCTTTTTTTCGAGCGAGATATACCAGCCAATTGCTTGTGATTTAGTTTAGCGCGTTACAAACCTTTTATTTCGTTATGAAAACCGTAACAAAAAGAATTAACCCTTCGAAAAGCCGGCGAAGAAGCCGCCAGAAAGAAAAAGATATATGTTGTCCAAAGGCGCACTCTGATTTGAAAGGCAGTTACATAATAGTTATGTTGTCAGGCTGTTTCTAAAGCATAAGGACCGGTTCCTTCGGCCCATCGGCACACACGCGGTACTAAATTGATACCGTCTTTTAACACTTAATGAAGTAAATCGATTTCAGGGAATTGAATATGAAAATGCTAGCACTGGCTTTTTATGTGCCATCGTCGAAGACGCGAGCAGCCGTGCAATCAATCTGGCAATATTTCCAATCTTTTTCGCTTCAAAATGCTACAATGAGGAAAGTACGAACCAAAGGCCTACAGGACAATTGCGAGCCAAATTTTGTTTTTCTTATGGCTGGTAAATTTCAAACACACTGTCCTTATTCTACTCAATTTTCTTAGCAAAATCTTTTGCAAATCTTGCCGGGTATGGCTCATTGGCACAACGCTTAGAAGATAATTAACGCTTAGAAGACATTATTATTCCCTCATTACTTTTAGCCTTAGCGTTTGTCTCCCAAACCAAAAAAGTCGTCTTGTGCCGCCCTATTGCAGGTTGGGGAACGTGTAAGAATTTCGTATACAATACAGAAGTTATTGCGAGGAGTTTTCTTTGTATTATAGAAGTTATTGAAGTTCTAATACCAGGAGCGCCATAACTCTTTGCTGAAGTCTAAATGTTAATTAGACTTGACTTGTCGAATATTGGCATAAAAAATCGGTGTTTTACAAAAAACTGTTAGTTATTTTGCTTTGCCAGTCCTCTTCAGTAATGCGTTTTTGCAGGAGCACCCGGCGAGTTGCAGCGACTGGAAGAAATTGTTTATGTCCACAGGATAACGTCACCGGATTTGAGGCATTTTCTCTATGTGCTGGATCCGTCCATAAACATTTACAGAGCCAACGCAACATTTGAATTTATGGGTTTTGATGTTTAACTTGCCGATAAGATAATTAATTTGGTGCTTTTATTCGTTTAGTGATTTCGAAATTCACATTTTTCCAGAAATTTTGGAGTTGCCGAGAGCGAAAAGAAGTCAGAGAGTTAGCTTCATTGGGAATTGTTTTGGGTTTAGTAGCTTTTTGCTAACAACAACCATTGTTTATAGGTTGCATTAAAAGTTCTCATCCAAAAGTTGCTTGAAAAATAAGCGGTTAAACCGGTTTTGACTCCCTCTGTTTATATTAAGCCATTTTATTGCTATGTTTTTCAGTATTATATTTTGCTACGTTATGTTGCGTTATATTAAGTTGTATGTTGTTTTGTCCCGTCCCTTCAGGCTGCGTTGTTGTGTACCAAGAATACCAATACTACCAGGACAGACTGCATAGCTATCTTATGTTGATGATGTTACTGGGATATTCAAAGACGCCCAGTGCAGCTGTGCCAGGCCCTTCGATCCTATGTTGCATACCTCCAATCAGTGCCCACTGCCTGTTTGATGTATGTGCGCCACTTCTTCGGAGAGCGCCTGAGTAGTTGTTCACTTTCACGCGGGTACCATTCACTAATATAAGTTACTCTATATTTCACCATACTACTTCGTTTTATAATGCTCAGTTGTTTTATGCATATACTTTGTTGCATTAGATATTGTATTTTTCAAAATTAGGTATCTTTCAGAATAAAAATTTTATTATTTACTCTCAATGGACTATGACCAATAAATAGCAACGCGCACCAGACTAGCTGGTGCCAACATCCGTCTTGTGCAATTCAGCCCATCGAACGATTGCCTATTAATGATTTTCACTGCTTTGTACTTTTGT